CACACCCTGCCCGGGAGCCCCGGGATGCGGTCTGGGACACAGCCCGCGCCCGCCCACCGGCCGGGCTCCACCTGCAGCGCCCCGGCTGCGCCCGCAGACCCCCTAATTGGCTGCGGGCGTTCCCGGGCCCCGCCCGTCGCCGCAGGGCACTCTGGAAACTGTAGTCCGCCGCGCGCCCGCGAGCTCAGGACTGGGCTTTGGACAGTTCTGGGGGACCGTCCCGGCTCCGGGAGGCCAGTCGTGCCGTGTGACTCCCAAAACTTCTATGAGAACGAGAGGGGAAGTGAATTGGCTTCTCGCCAGTGCGCACTGACTGTCGTCCGAGGGCCGGGAAGGGGAGCCGGGATGAAGCCCTGACTCTGTCCTGCAACTCCCCCTCGAGGCTGTTCTGCTCGCGCCCACTTTTCAGGTGGGAAAGCCCGGCGGGCGACGGATGCGGCGTGGGTTCCTCGGCGCGGCGCTGCCCCCTACTGCGCGAAAGGCTGCGCCCCTGCGGCGGCGGGCGGTCCCCGGAGGCCCCGGCTCGCCGGCTCGTTTCCTGCTTCCCAGGGACTCCCGTACCCTGACTCAGAGCCGGCCAGCAGCAGAGGGCTGGGAGAAAGAGCTCCTTTGGGAATTACTTATCACGGGCTTCATGACGGATCTTCAGATATGTTTGCATATTAAATTAAAAGCTTCTGATTCTTTATTTCCCACTTTAAATAAACATGAGCTCGTTACAGATACAACGAAAATCTTTGAGGACGATCACGCCGATGCTGGTCGTTCGACTCGCTTCGCTGCTGAGTGGCAGGCTGGTGTCCTGGATACAGCTCTTCAAATGGCGAGCCTTGGGTTGGACTCCCCACTTTTCCGGGACAACAGACGTCCTTTCGCCCCCCAGCCCTTCAAGGAAAACCAAAGCGATCCCCGTAGGTCCCCGCCTGGTTCCTCCTCCAGCTGTTTGGGGATGCGGTGGCTTTACCCCGCAAATCGCTAGTTGTCGGACAGTTTATCCAGGCAACACAGCCCACCCTATTACTAAACTCAGAACTGCTTTGAAAGTTTATGTAACATAGAAATTATTTGTTCCTAGGCAGTTTTGAGAAACCTCTGCAGAAAACCATCTGGGCCAGATATCTTTTCCTGGCGTTTCATCATTGATTACTTTCTGGTTATTGGTTATGATGATTGCTTCACATCTTCAACGCCTTCGTAGGTCAATTTTCCTAAAATAATTAATTATTCTGCGTCTGTGCTGTCCAACATGGCAGCCACCAGCGAGATGCGGCTGTTAAGCACTCAAAATGTAACTAGCCCAAACAGAGATGCGCTGCTGTAAGTATAAAATACACCGGGTTCCAGAGTTAGTGTAAAAAGGGGTTGTACGGGCCCTGCTGGTGTGGCTCAGTGGATTGAGCACTGGCCTGCGACACAAAGGGTCGCAGGATCAATTCCCAGTCAGGGCACATGCCTGAGTGGCGGGCCTGGTCCGGAGTGGGGGGCACACGAGAGGCAACCACACACTGATGTTTCTCTCCCTCTCTTTCACTCTCCTTTCCCGTGTGTAAAAATAAATAAAATCTTAGGAAAACACAAAAGGATTCCACAGTTTCACTTATATGTGGGATATAAAAAACAAAAACACACCCTGGCTGGTGTGGCTCAGTGGATTGAGTGCTGGCCTGTGAACCAAAGTGTCACTGGTTCGATCCCCAGTCAGGGAGCATACCTGGGTTGCAGGTCATGTCCCCAGTCGGGGGCTAGTGAGAGGCAACCACACATTGATCTTTCTCTTTCTCTTTCTCTCTCTCTCCCCCACTTCCACTCTGTCTAAAACTAAGTAAATAAAAACCAAAAACACAAAACTGAACTCAGAGAGTAGCGTAGGCTGGTTCCGGGGGGGGGGGGGGAGCAGCTGAAGGGGGGTCCACAAGGCACAACTTCCAGTCGTGAGGTCACTAAGTGCTGGGCATGTAATGCACAGCATGGTGACCGCAGTTAACAATATTGCCATGTATATACCTCAGAGCCGCTAGAAGGATGATATTAAAAGCTGTCACCACAGACAAATAAACGGTAACTCTGTGAGGTGATGGGTGTGTTAACTAACCTTATTGGGGTAATTATTTCACCACCATCAGTTTAAGTTCTACAATGCTATACGCTGATCATATCTCAATAAAACTGGAAGGAGTGTAAAAGGACTTTTCAAACATATTGATTACAAATGAAAATATTTTTGGGAATGCTGGATTAAATAAAATGTTGTTAAAACAAACTTTTTAAATGTCGCTGGTAGGTCGGAGCCGCTCCAGAAACCGGGCAGAGGCAGCAAGCAAGGAGAGCAGGGCTCGTCAGCAGGGAATGAGAGGGGAAGTGGGGCCGGCCGGGGGCGGGGGGCGGGGTGGGGGGGAGGCTGGGACTCACTGGGTTGCTCTTAGGTCAGAGTTTTCACACGCAAAAACCTGCAGCTGGGGTATCGGTCTGATTGGCTAGGGCCGGTGGCTGGGTGAGAGCTGCATCCTGTTATGCGGGATAAACCGACCCCAGACCCTCACCTTCCTGGGCAGGGTCTGCAGGCAGCTTCCCACGATGCCCTTTTCTCGCCCGGTGATTTTCATTCCTCCTGGGCCTGCCTACATCTAACGGGAGCCACTAGAAGATGTAAAATGACCCATGTGATGTATTTGTGGCTTGCATTATGTATGTATTGCATTAGAGCTAACTAACATTCCAAGTGACTGGTAGAGTTGTGCCTAGTATTCTTACATGTATTTTTGGTTTATTGATTTTAGGAGAGGAACTTCTATCTGTTGCTCTACCCACAGGCTGACTCCCGTATGCGCCCTCCTGACCAGGGACCAAACCTGAAACCTTGGCAAATCGGGACAGTGTTCCAACCCCCTGAACTGCCCAGGCAGGGCCGTGCGCATTTCAATCACTTACTGATCACGCATTTCCTTCCTCATTCTGAGTTTTCAAAATCTTTTTGTCTCCTTATCTCACTTGCCAAAAACTTGTCTGTTTTTATCGATCTTTTCCTAAAACCAGCCTTTGTTCTGGACCTAACTACCAGTTTATAGAAAATAGAGACAAAGGGACGTGTTAGACCTTGGAGATGAAAATGGGCAAGAATCAGAGCGTTTTCCTCTCCATGATAACCTGGATTCTCCAACAAATAAATTGCAAGAAGTAAGAAAACTAGAAAGAGGGGTCCTCATGATACTTCTGAAATGGTCTCAAGATAACACACAAATCTGATTTGTTTCGGTTCCTGATTAAACAATTCAACTATTCAAAAAAAATGTAAAGGTATATAAATGTCTAATCAGTGTTCTACATCTGAAACTACTAATATTGTCTGTCAACCACAACTTAAAAGCAAGTTAAAAAATTTTCAAGAAACAATTAGGGAACTCTGCATGCCCACTGGGTATTTGATGACATTAAGGGATGATCATTGCTTACTTTTAGGTATAATAGTATGTGGTTATGTTTTCTTTAAAAGTCACTTTCTGAAATATAGATTCTAATTTTACAGGTGAGAAGTCACATCTGAGATTTGCTTCAAAATCACACTGTGACGGCGGTGGTGGGTGGGTGAGTACAGACAGGAGACCGGCCCTGACCTGCTAGTTGTTGAAGCTGGGGGGTCACGTGTAGGTTTATTATACTCATCCACGTTGAGATGTTTGACATTTTCCATTACAAAGAACATGAAGAAAAACAGGGCCTGATTAGGTTGGGCTGGCCAAAAGCCCGTTACATTTTTTCTGTAAAATAAGAGACACATTTTTCATCTTCACCAATAACTTTATTGATTTGGATATTTTGAGTACGTCGGCTATCTCCTGCTGTTGGCTTCTAGTGGGTGGGAGCCAGGGGCGCTGCTGAACATCTTCCAGTGCAGGAGGCAGCCCCACAGCAGAGAATTATTTGGCCAGAATGTCAACAGGACCAAGAAACTGCACAAGCCACTTTTGACACGGTTCAGTCAGTCACAGTGCCTTCTCCATACACTGCACAAGTCTTTTTTCCTGTTTGTTGCATTTTTACCTTTCTTGAAATAACACAGCATAATACCCCCAAAATGTTGTGTATCTTCTTTCATCTTCAATATGAAAATAGCTGCACAAAAATTCACCAATTTTGATAAGCTGTTTTTTAAATGCACACTGATACGACAGCTGTCACAATACAATCTAGCAAAATAGTTCTGAACCAAGTTAAAGACAACTAAGCACTACTAGAGCCATCTCATGGGAAAAAACTAACTTCGTCCACCCCACTACGGGCCAGGTTTACTGTTCTGTTCTCTGGTTTACTTATTTGTGTTTTGGTCTTTCAAAAATTCCGTCTCTTAAAAAAAATAAATAAATAAAAATTCCTTCTCTTTTTGGTGTTATTTTACTAATTCTAGGTTCTTCCCCCCCCGTTTTTATTGACTGTATTGGGGTGACACTGGTTAATGAAATTACACAGGTTTCAGGTGCACAGTTCCCCAACCCACCATCCGTCACGTTCTTTTCGTATGTTGTGCATTTTTCACTTTTTCTCGTTTTCCAATCAACGTATTCAGGCTATAAATCGTCCTCTGAGAGTCACGCCGGCCCTATAACGTGTTTTCAAATGTGTACACGCTCTCATTTGTTTCCAGTCTGTGATTTCAGCTTCGAACGGGTTACACTGTAGTGACGGAGGAGTAATCAGGTTTCGAGATCAGGGCGAGGCTGCAGAACTGGGCAGAGGCCGCTGTCCCTTCTCCCATCGCAGGCAGCTGACAGTCAGTATCTGCTGGTGTCCGGTGAACAGCCTGGTGGTTGGACAGACATTTCTGCAACTGACGAGATGGTCCCGACAGCCCGCATTTATTCTGTGCTGACTGTCTCCTACGAGGTGGTTGCCTGGGAAGACCCCGTCTCCCAGGGCTTCTCTCTCTTCCGAACATTCTAGTTCCAGGGCGGAGCTCCCTGCTCACCTTGGCCTCCAGAGCCGCCTCTGGCAAGGGCAGCGCCGCGATGACGCTGAGACAGGGGTCCTTCCTGTGGTACCTCTACCTGGACAAGCTGTACTGCCTGCTGTCCGTGAGAAACGTGCGGGCCTTGGTGGAGTACTTCCGCCTCCTCGACGTGCACCGCAACAACACCCTGAACGGTCAGTGCTGTCGGAGGGTCGGGCTCCCGGGGGCGGACCCCAGGTTTCCACGCACCGGCTTGGACTTCGGGCTGGCGGCCGTCCGCGGGGAGCCTGCAACCGCAGGCTCTAGGTTTCAATCCTGGCGCTGCCCCTCGCGCCTTGGTGGCGTGAAGAATGTGTCGTTGCTCTCTCTAGGTCTCACTGTCCTCATCTGTAAAGGAGGGTTCTGATAACGCGGTCCGTCCCACAGTTGGGGGAAAGAGATGGCCAGCCCCCACTGGCGAAGCTCGGTTGTTTGGGTGTCGTCCTGTAAAGCTGAAGGTCGCTGGTTCGATTCCTAGTCAAGGCGCAGGCCCGGGTTGCAGGCCCAGCCCCTCCCTGGTCATGGCGTGAGGGAGGCCACTGACTGATGTCTCTCTCCTTCTCCCCACCTTCCCCGCTAAGAATAATCTTTCGAAAAGAGATCATTGAATGAGGCAATGTGTGAAAAATGCTTAGCACATGGTGAGGACTTCGTGTTCGTGGTCATTATGCTTTTTCCTGGGGGCAGAGAACCCCCTCAGGGTTCTCTTCTGTCAAATGGGGGTCTGAGTCAGAGACGACCTGAAAGACCCTTCTAATTCTCGGTATTTGCAAGTGGCCTGAAATGTACGGATGACCTCGCCCCGCCTTGGAATGCCAAACTAACAGGAGACCAGTTAAAATACCTTAGGAGTGTTTCCTTTTAAGGACTGGGTGTAACTAAGGTTTCCTGTCCATTCCTTGTGACCTGAGAGATTAACATCCTTTGTGAATAAGGAGGTTCTCCCATCAAGATTTTTTTTTTAAGATTTTTATTTTATTTTTAGAGAGAGGGGAAGGGAGGGAGAAAGACAGGGAGAGAAACATCAATGTGTGGTTGCCTCTCATGCGCCCCCTAGTGGGGACCTGGCCTGCAACCCATGCATGTGCCCTGACTGGGAATCGAACCAGTGACCCTTTGGTTGGCACTCAACCCACTGTGCCACACTAGCCAGGGCTCATAAAGATTTTTAAGAGTTCATTCAATCTTTAACAAATAATAAAAGGGCACCTTCATTTTCTCAAGATTTCAGGCCCCAGTTTTTCTCTTTACAAATAGATGTGCCCACACGGCGTGTCACCGGACCTTTGCCATAACCCAGTCCCAGGTAGCGCAGCTGCGGGGCACCCCTGTGTAAACAGAGCGCCTGGGACCGAAACCCACGGCTCTCGCACTCCCAAGGCCACTCTTAGCCTCCCCGGAATGTTTGCTGGGAAGAGTGCATCTCCCTAGTAACTCCCTCCCTCCCCGGTGATGCAACACCCCAGCGGGAGTCGGTCTCCTGTCTCCTGGTGGCCAAGGGATCGGAGGCAGGGAAAGCACAGGGGACGGAGCATGGCTTACGGTCTTGGAGACTGGAGCAGGCCAGAGCCGGGTGATTTAAAAACAGTTCTGGGTCAGTAGCCTTTGAGTCCCATGCTAAAACCCCTCTCCCAAAAAGCAACTGCACAAGCCAAGCATCGCTGTGTATATATAAGGTGCGTTCTCCCCACATGTGCATACCCGGTGGGGTGTGGGGGAGGAGTACCAGGAGACCACCTAGAGCCCCCATCGGAAGTCTGGTTCACCACGCTCTTAGCTAGGACTCCAAGCTACGGAGATTCTTTATGTTTCATGGAACCGTATCTTATTCAGGAAAAAGCTTCTGTAACCAGGGGGCAAGGGGAAATCACATGGAGACAAAGTAACACGTGCAAATCCCTGAAGTTACCGTAGGCAGTTTGTGTACATGAGCTGTACAGCCACACACCGCGTCTAAAGGAACCGCCTGGTTGGTTCCTTGCATTTCACACACCCTGAGACGGGATGATTGGTGAGAGTTTCAGCACCAACCTTCCCTGTTCTCTGCTGCATGTTCCTCTCTCCTTGTGTATGACTAAACATGCATCACCCACGGATGTACAGAAGAGAAGGCTCCGCCCCGGAAGGAGCAAGGCAGTGGGGTCAGGTGGACCACATTCAGATCCCAACTCGGCCACCAGGTGTGGTCAGCAGTGGCTGCATCACCCGGGAGCTTGTTAGAAATGCAGACCAGGTCCATGCCAGAGTCCCCGAGTCCGAGTGCGCATTCTCACAAGATCCTCGAGCGACCGGCACGCTGACCACAGCTCGAGCAGCACCGAGACAGACGATCTTCTCCGAGGCTCGTTGGAGAAGGCTGCGATGCCGCCCTTCCTGTAGGGTCCTCAGCATTCAGCAACGTGGCCTTTGAAGTGCTTAGCACCTAAGGCAGGGTGTCACACTCATTGTCACCGGGGGCCACATCAGCCTCGTGGTGCCCTTCAAAGGGCCGAATGTGACTTTAGGACTGCATCAATGTAGCTACTTCTTGATTAGCGTTTCGGAGCGGTCCTGGAATAATCTGTCTTCTCGTCTCCCCCCGCCCGTCACAGATGTGCTGTTCTACCACTTTCTTCACCACGTGACCAACTGGAACCGCAGACAGATCATGAGCGTGTTCGACATGCTGGACTGGGAGGCCATGGGCGAGATCGGTTTCGACCAGTTCTACGTGCTGGTCTGCATACTGCTGGCCCAGCAGGCGAGTGGGGCCCCCGGGGCGGGGGTGGGGACGGAGGCGGCCCAGCCCGGCCGCTACCAGCATCTTGCGAAAGGCAGCGCTGAACTGCGAGTACACCAGAGTACACCAGAAGCGTTCTTCCTTTCCCTCGAAACGGGAAGGAGAAAACTCGAGGAGGAACTGTGTCTGGTTCTGGTTCCCAGAGGGTCCGTCGATAACCTACAAACTCCCTGTAGCTCCTCGGCCCTGGCCCCTGCGGCCGGCCCTCCTTCGGCCCTCCCACCCCACGCGGCCTCTCTGAACAGACCCCACGGCCCTCCCCCTCCGGGGCGTGCCCTCCCTGCCGGCTCCAGCTGGGGCCGTGAGCCCAAGCGCCTCGCTCCCTCCACGATCCCCTTTTTCAGAGAATCTTCCGGAGGCACGAAGGGTGGAGACGAGAAACGCTCTTCTCTGGGTCCCCACCTTACCTCGCACACACACACACCTGGCGTGAATTTACCTGCTCCCCACGCCCTAGGGAAAGGGAATCTTCACGATTTCACCAGCAGTGCCCCGAAGCCCCACAGGCAGATTTTCGCTGGAGGGACAGGAACGCGTCCCTGTGACTGCAGTTCTGTCTGCACAGTGGAGCTCGGCCTGCGGGGCGGGGGGGGCCCGCAGGCAGACGCTGAAGCAGGACTTCACGCACTGGCCACAGAGCCCTTCTGCCCCGGGCGTCTCTGCTTCGGCCTGCGGCTCTCCAGGGAACGGAGGGGGGCTCGGAGGGGGGCTCGGAGGGGGGCTCGGAGGGGTCCGGGCCCCCGCGGGGAGTTGAGAAAGTGGCACCAGCAACACTGTTTCTCTCTCTCGTCTCACCCGTTCGTCCACCCACACAGAACCACCTGGAAGAGCAGTTCATCTACCGCCACTCCCGGCCGGTGTTCGAGCTGCTGGACCTGGACGGGGAGCTGAAGATCGGCGCGGAGAACTTCCGCATGTACAACTTCCTCTTCCACATCAAGAAGCAGGAGTTACGGGACTTCTATCGCGACCTGGACATCACGGGGGACCGTGTAAGCGCTGACCCCTCCCGTGGGGCCTGGCAGCCTCTCTGTCCTGACGCGGAGGACAGTGTCCTACGACCTGCAGTCGAGATGGGGTGCGGGGGTGAGGATGGGAAAACCTGCTCCAGCATGGCGCGGTGCTGGGGTGACTCATGGGGCCTGCGGGGGCAGAGAGGACGAAGGGACTGAGTGCACCGTCATGTAACGTGGGTACAGGATGACGGGAGCTCAGACAAGGACATTAAGTGACTACGGCAGGAGATGAACTTGGGCAGGGCACGCAGATTTACGTAGAAAGGGAGAAGTTCTGTGATGGGAGCGCAGGGCCAAGTCCCGAGACAACTACATAGATCCAGCCCCTGCAGAGAGCACGTCCGGGGAAGCAAGAGGGCGCAAGGGCGGAGAAGGGAGGGTCGCGAGACGCCAGCCCGAACCGTCCGGACCGGCTGCTGGAACGGAGCTTGCGGCCCTGGGCTCCTTCCGAGTCTGCAGCAGACTCGCTGGCTCCGAGACTACAATTAGATGACAACTGAGTCCTCATGACCGAGCCCCTGGAGGTGTCCGAGGTCCTAGATGAGAAGTCGTGACAGTCCTGTTGTCACCTGAAACCAAGGATCGAATCCTCCCTGACATAATTTTCTCCCCCCCTCCCACAAAAGCGTCTTAATTACAAGGAATTTAAGCTGTTTACCATCTTCACCATGGACAAGTACCAGGAGAAGCAGAAAGTGGAGATGGAAGAGAAGGAGAGGGAGGAGGAGGAGAAGGCTCTGCTGAAAAAGGAGACGTCCCTCGAAGTGTACGTGACCCCGAAAGACAGTCTCCGTGGAGTGAAGGAACCCGAGAGTAGAGTGTGAGTCATTACGGCCGGTGACAGGTTTGAAAATAAATTTGAACACGAAAGTACACGTCTTCACGTGGACTTGGATGTACGAAGGGCTCAAATGAGTGTTCCCCAAACAGCGGGTTCTGACCTGGAGTGACCTGGTGACCCACCAGTGTCACGGGAAGTGACCGCCCCCTCTGTGTCCACCCACACGTCCTGGCTCTGCCGCGGCATCTCAGGCCGACCCTGCTCACTGTCCAGCCCCTGCGTAGCCAGCCAATCCCCAGCACGTCCTGGGGCTGAGCCGCGGGAGGAAGGTGACACTTTCCCGACGTCAGTCACTCATGGGTCCAATACTTTCAGGATCCCTTCTACCCCCCCGCCCCGCCCCCAGCCCCCAGTCCTTTGCTGAAACTCCCTGGATGCAACACACTTCCAACTGGCAAATGGTGAAGTGCCGCCAACCAGAAGGGAAACTGACTTTTAAGGATATTTGGGCTGTGTTTTTCTAAGAACCGGAATTCCTCTCTGATTCGTTATGTGTGCTTAAGCAAATGTATCAAACCTGCTAGGGTAAAGTAAATATGACAGGCCCCCTTTTAACTTACCTTTTTTTTTAATGGGCTTTTTTAAAAATATTTTTAAAGATTTTATTTTTATTTTATTTTTAGAGAGGGAAGGGAAGGAGAAAGAGAGAGAGAGAAACATCAATGTACGGTTGCTGGGGGTCATGGCCTGCAACCCAGGCATGTGCCCTGATTGGGAATCGAACCGGCGACACTTTGGTTCGCAGCCCGCGCTCAAATCCACTGAGCTACACCAGCCAGGCTTAACTTACCTTTTGTATAATCAATGCAACGTTTGTAGCAGGGGGCTCAGGAACCCTCCCTGCCTGACTGTGCTGTGATGTAATGACGACGACTACCACGTAGTGGAAGAGTTACTTGCTGTGGGTCAGACAGGTGTGTTGGACGCATGGGTTTGTTTACTCTCATAAACCTCTGAATCAGGTGTTAGCCTCATCGTCCAGGTGAGGAAACGGAGGCCTGCAGAGATGAAGAACCCTACCCAAGAACATATGGCTCACTAGAGGTAGGACCAGGGTTCAAATTCAAGGTCAGTTAGGTGCCTGGGCTTAGCGCAAGTGATCCGGGTAACTCCCTTCCGTTTCAGCAGATTCTGTTTAAGTTTTAAGCTAGCAGTTCACTGGCTCAGAACTTCTTTCTGTATCATGCTAATAATTACCACATTTCCCTCTACCATAAATTTCTGAGGAACATGGTTGGGGAGTAGAGAAATACAGCTCACTTAGTATAAACAAAGGATTTCTTCAGACTACATTATGCAATCTAACTGTCCGTAAGGCAACTGATGGGTCCCAAAGGACCAAACAATCATCGAAAACCACTTTCTTGAGGTGTGACAGACAAGAGCACTGCTTACCTAAGGCTGCCTTTCAGCACTCAAACCCCTTACAGTGGAAATCACGTTAATTACTGTGAACACTTTCTGTAGTTACTCGAACAGACGCGGGATTTCTCGGTATCATGCTCATGACCGTGAATAACGTCCAGCAGCCAGAACCCAGCCGCCGGGCCCCTGATTTCTGAACCGCACACGGGGTAACGGCACGCACCTCCGAGAGTGCCGCGGAGTTCAGAGAGACGCAGGGCTCCTCACCGAGACCAGTGCTCTGCGCTCCCCCAGCTTCGGTGAGAAGCTCGCAGGCACTCTCCCGGGAGGTACCCCCCCACACCGACACAGAGTACTGTGCTGAGAGGAGGGCTGGCTGGCTGGGAAGTGACAGCTTGGGACTGGCCGTCATTTCAAAGGGTCTCACCACGAAGCTCACCTTGGAACTGGTCTCTTCTGTCTCTCTGGTGCTTCTCTCCCGTGTGCGGGAACAGCCCTGAGACACATATGAAGGCGACCGAGGCACAGGCTTTTGCAGGCGTGGCCTCTAAGGCAATGAGGATGCTCCGCCCTTTACGACGGTCAGAACAGGGGCCCGTGAGGGAGCAGGGAAGAGCCGAGGGTAATAGGTGAGCAGGCTTTAATGTTGGCTAAATTATAAACCAAAATGTAAATGTTTAAACTATTCAGTGATTTCAAATGAATTTGGATCAGGTAGCACAGTCCTCCCCTCCTCCCTGGAAGTCACCAGGGTCACTGTAAAAGGTATCATGACCCAACTGCCACATTCCTTTGAAGAGCATGTCTATAAACTGTGTGGTTCTGGGATGGAATGAGGAAGCGGAGCTTTTACCTCCGATGGGCCCCAAATGACACTCAGCATAAAAAAGCACAGTTCAATGGTCCCTCAGTAAAGTGACACTCTTTTGGGAGTAGGAGCACAACAGAGAAAATCGGTCACTGTCCACATTAGGATTTCCCCCCCCCCTCAATGACATTATGTGACTTAAAAAATTTTTTAAATGTGTTTCTAAGTACACTTCAACCGAGTTTCCTTATTTCCACATGGAGGCGACCTACTGCGCTTTTAAGGGTGGAGCTTATCAGGCGGAATATGGTTCACGCACTTGACGGTGGTGTCACTGGGCGATGTCAGAGTCACATGGGAATTCCCTGGCTGACAAGGCATGCCCGCTCAGGGGCCTGAGCGGCGGGTGCGAGCAGCAGCAGCAGCAGCTGGGCATGGGACCAGTAGGCTACACTGAGGAGGTGACTGCAGTGTCCGCCCAGGACCACGGGACTGGGCCCTCCACAGTCTCTATCAGCCACTAAGAGAATTGTAGAGGATGCTGTCTACGCAAAGCGAAAGCCCTTCTCTTCTACTGGTTCTTAGCTCTCGTGTGTCCTTGTCACAGGCCTCCCGCCAAAACCAGAGACTAGAAAAGGCCAGATCAGCGCTGCCGACGCCCGCTGGAACGGGCGGGCAGTCACCATTGGGGGCAGCCAGCCCCCCACCCACCCCAGCGCCAGAGAGCGGAAGTCCCGGGAACCGGCGGCAGCAGGGGAGCTCACCAGCTGGGCTCCTCTTTGCCCGTGTATCCAGTGAGTGTCGGGGAGAGTGGGGCAGGTAGCTGGAAAGCAGTGAATCCGGGCTGCCACTCCCATTCTTGGACCAAAACAAATTCCATATGATGAAACCATTAAAAATGATTTTTTTTATACTCTCAGAGTGGGTAACACCTTTGGTTACCAAAACCAAGAAGTCATAAAATACAAGGCTGATAGGTCTGACCATGAAAAGCTCAGTATTTGGCCCTGGTTGGTATGGCTCAGTGGATTGAATGCTGGCTTGCGAACCAAAGGGTTGCCGGTTCGAGTCCCAGTCAGGGAACATGCCTGAGTTGCGGGCCAGGTCCCCAGCAGAGGGCACACAAGAGACAACCACACACTGACATTTCTCTTCCTCTCCCCTTCCCCTCTCTCTAAAAATAATAAAAGTTTTTAAAAAGAAAAACTTAATATTTGCACATGGTAAATTACGTAAAAACAAGAACATGTTAACACATGATAGAAAATGACCAGTTTCATTAATATAGGAAGGATGTTTGCAAATCAGGAGGATAAAGACCAAAATGCAGCCGGAAATGAGCAAACTTAAAGAGAATTGACAGGGCAAAAAATACCAATGGCCTTAAAATATACAGTAAAATGCGAAACCTCACGTGCAGAGAAAACACTAGTAAAAACCAGAGGACACAGATTCTCACCTAGACTGTCCAAGATCAAAAAGCTGGTCAGGGCAGAGGGAAGTCAGAGCAGCCGTACTGTTCATAGCATTAAGTGGGTACAGTCTATATGGGGGGGGGGGCAATTCAGCATCCACTCCCTAAAGGTACACACCCTTTGATCGAGCAAGTCACCCTCCTCAGGACCGCGTCCAACAGACGCACACAGACACACGGACACACAGACACACGGATGGCGCTGCAGAAAAGGGCATTTGGTGGCAGCACGGTCGGCGGCAGCAGGCCACACCGCCCGACCGGAACTGAGGCTGCAGTCACCGCGGCACTGCGGACAAGGGAGCGCTATGGCCGCTGGGGGGCCGGGGGAGCAGATCCAGCTCCACTCACAGGGACAACTTCAGATTCACCGTTTCAAAGAGAAACCAGAGGGGTAGGGCCCTATACGTATCTATGGGAAACACAGGGCAGGGTGGGTGTCTGTACTCGTCGGCCCCGGAACAGTCCTCGTACCGGGGTCCGTCCCTAGGCCAGCAGCGGAGCAGCGTCACCCAGGACCTCCGAGAAATGCAGATCCCTGGGCCCCACTCAGACCTGCTACCTGGGAGCCTCTGGGGAAGAGAGCCCAGCAACCTGTGTTTCAGTGTAACGAGCCCCCCAGGTAGTCCTGGCGCACGCTCGAGTGTGAGAACCCCTGAGCCAGGGGATCTTCGGAGACACCCGGGAAACTGGTAACAGCTGTTGCCTCTGGGGAGCGGAGACGGGAGGCGAGGAACGGGAGTGAAAGAGAGACTTTTCACTTCCCTATTTTGGTTTTTTTTTCCCCACCATGTGTGTATGTATCACCTATTTAAATAAGAATTTAACCATCAAACCTTCCACTTTGATCCACAATGGTTATACATGAGCTCGGGGCTCTGGGAAAACTGAATTAAAGTTTTGGTTTACACCATGATTCGTAAAAGAAAAATAAAACCACCACCACCTATTTTAAACCAAGATTTCAGTGCAAAAGATCAAGCATATTATAAATGACCACGTGCGGTTGGGCACTGCAGAGCCTCAGTCTGGTGACATAAACTCCTCATGTACTAAGCCGAAGTTTTAAAAAGAAGGAAAACCTTTTTAGAGGTTTTATTAGACTGAGGCAGATGACCCTTATTGTGAGAAAAACAATTAAGGAAAAAAAAAAAAACAGAAAAAAAGGCAAAGACAAAGAGAAAAATTGAACAATCTTTTTTTTAAAAAAATGCACAAAAATCCTACACACTAAAATTGTACATATCAAGTATTGGTCCAATCTTATATCAGTCTATTTACAATTAAACAGCACCATGGTTTTCTTACCTAGGTTATTTAAACATGCCCCAAAAACTGTTATTCAAAGTGTATGTTCCTTTAAAATAAATTATTGAGAGCTCACATCCTCACAAATAAAAAAGACCTTCTACCAACCATGTGTGAGTGATGCGATCACCGAGTTTGCTTAAAAAAAATAAGTTTAAACACCTGTTTTCCCAGTTGGCAAACCTTGAGAGATGTTGCTGTTCAGGGAGGCACACAAGCTAACAACAACTCTTGGCTGATGGGCGGGCCCTGTACCGAAAGGCCCCCACGCCCCCACCTCCGCATATAAAAATGCTCCTTTGGAATTAATGCTGCTGCTGTATCCTCTTGGATTGAGATTCGATTATCAGCAGACCTAAATTAAATGTAGCCACAATCTTTCAAATAATTGCATTACAAGGGGAAGTCGTTAAAGCTCTCAGAAACACGTTACAAGTATAAATATTATTGTATCTAACAGGCTATAGGAAGTTTAATACCCTTTTAAACATTATCTTTAAACTAATTAGCAATTTCACCTTGCCGTTGAAATCAACAATGGTGCTCCGCATCCATGCGGGTGTGGAGGTCTGGTGCTTCCCTGCTGCGAACAGCGTAAGTGCCTTCTCCCTCTAATTTTCCTTCCTGTGGATTCCCAGGGGCGCAGTGATCGCGCGGGGGGCCCCCCTCGCTACTGGAACCAGCCTCGAAGAGGAATTTGTGGATTGCAGCCACAGCACCAAAGAATCAGGTTATCTCACCAGACCTGCCAGTCCTCCGTGATCCAATCTACGATGGCTCTCAGCCTGCCTCTTCGCTAGGAAAGAGGAGAGAGGGAAACTGTCGTCCGCCACCACTAAGGTAGCAGGGAAGTGGACAGCACGGGCACATAAAGCAACATTTCACCATTTGGTCTCTCCGCTAATGTTTAAGTGACAGCGGTAAATCTGTCCTATCAGTCAGTTATGACTTGAAATTTTCTCTGAAAGACTGAAAATAGGCACAGTTCTCCCAGGCACAGGTGGAACGGGCGTGCTTACACCCTTCCTGCGAAGTGGGGGAGAAAAGAGAACGACTTTATTCCCCCACAGTGGGAACAGCTGCACTTGACCCCTTGCGTCCCCTGGCCCAGCATCCACGCGTTTGGCGGCCGTTAGCTCTGAAAAGTTCTGAGCGGAGTAGGGAGAACGACTCTGGTATGTATAGGAATGACCTTCTAAACCTGGGCATGAAAACAACTTCGTTACATAGACACTTCAAAATGCCTATGCAGCGAGAGAACAAGACCCTTTTCAACTGAGGATTGGTTGAAAGTCAGGGATCTGATTGCATTGACTAAGCTATTGCCTCGTGTTCCAGAAGGGGGCGGGCCACCAGCGCGCGGGAAGGCACCGAGACTCGGTGGGAATGTCGGGAGCCCCGCGCGTGGGGGTGGGGGGGCAGCACTGAAACAGAGCTTCCCAGCCTCCCGTCCCTTATGACTGACTACACAGAAAGTAACTGAGCAAAGCACTGAGACCAGACTAGAAGCAAACCTCAAATGCTGCTCCTTCCGGTTTCCACTCTGAAAAGCCCAAGTCTAGTAACTGTTACTGACGACTTCTGGAAATTATCATTCGCTTTTATAAAAATTCTGTATTCACAAGGTGCTCGGTGCTGTTCTTCATGGATGCGGTATTCTATTTACAGTCCCGATCGTTTAAATACCGCCGTGACCTAGTTTCTGGGTGTTTTAAAATAAATGGCCATCTACTTCTCAACTGTCCCTCGAGTTAGAAATTGTAATTACACGAGTCTCAAAGGCTAGCTCTTTGCGTTTTATTAATTATTTTGTTGGTCTCCATCACAGATGGAATTTTTCACTGGTAATTCCTCAGAACTAAATCCATTACACGGAACTCAGAGCAGTGAAACTAAATTTCACGCCGCGGAGAGGGGGCGACAACGGGGAGGAGCGAGAGGGGCCCGGGGCCCGGCCGACGGAAGCGGCTCAGTTCTCCACCGGCGTGGGGTTCTGCAGGGGCTGGCTCATGATGACCTGCACGACGTAGTCCTTCGGGATCTTCAGCTCCTCCAGCCTCATCTTGTCGGTGAGCGGCCGGCCGGAGAAGAACCAGCGCTGGCTGCCCGGCTCCACGCCCTCGGCCGCGTGGAGGCGCCGCTTCATGTGGTACACCGTGTCCGTGCTGCGGACCACCAGTTTGAGGTCTTTGCCCGTGGACAGGCGCAAGCGGAGCTGGCACTCGTATCCGGAATTGGGGGGCGGCTCGGGAATGTCCAGGGTCTCGATGTCGCTCTTCTCCTCGATCATGTTGATGGGCGGCGCCAGGCAGTAGACCGGGAGCTGGTACCTGTTCCCCAGCTCGTCGTAGCACTCTGTGAGCGCACCTTCGGGAAGAAGACAGGAGTGAGGGTTTAATCTAATGAATGCACTTCCGTTTTCACCTTGCAAAGTCCCCAAGCACCTCTCGCTAGCTGGCCATTGTCGAGAAAAAGATTAAAATAAGGTCAGTCACTGTCATCTGATCGTCAGCGATAATCATCAAGGTCCGTGACGAAGTAGCTGAATGTTTACCTGATTTTATGTGAATCAGAACCCTAGCTCGGTACCCTCATCTCTTCTTTTCATACCTAATTCACACTTTCACGGAAAGATAAAGGAAAAGCAAGCACACGAAATTCAAATTCACTACTATCATTAATGCTTGGGCCAAATTAAGGAGACATTCAAATTGCACTGGGATATCTTTTTAAGAAAGATTCAGCTACCTTGATGAAGAGAAAGGAAAAAAGAAGCGTCTCTGAGCCCAATGCACCACAACACAGGGTCAGGGGGCTTCCTTAGTGCGCAGACTGCCCGCACGGAAGGGCTCTCGGCCCTTCGGTCCAGGGGCATCACACGCTCGGATGCTGCTGGCCCGTGGCTCGCGTCCGTGTGACAAGATTCACGAGCCCAGTGACCACAGAAGCAACTGAGGTGTCTTATGAACCCCAGCCAGTCAGTGTTGCAGAGGAAAACGAACGGGGAATTAAGTTTATAGCCAGCTGGCTCAGAGGATGGAAAAAAGCATCTATGTTTCAAAAGAGAGTATCATTGACTAATTTTTTATAAATCACACACTGCACTATAACTACCAGGACTTCCCAGGGAGGCTAAAAGTGTGCTTCACAAATGTTTTATTGGAAGGTTACTCAGAGTGGGTGCCATCCGCTCCGACTGGACATTAATGTTGGCTGATTTTCAATTTGGATAAAGAGCAAAACCATCTACCATGCTCAAAACACTTACAACCTAATAAAGATGGGGAGTGGGGGGCTGAGAAATGGTTACTGATGAACAAATGAGTCACTGAGCTCATCTCTGCAGTCGCCATCAACAGGCGGAGAGCACGAAGCATCGGAAGTGCGAGTGAGCAGTGCCAGCGCCCTGGGTTCAATCGGGTCTGCCCTGCCGTCACGCCACAGGAGCTGCGGGGAGAGCTGGGTCGCCGGACGGAAAACGCACGAAGCCCCCGTCCTCTGCTTAACGACGCTGCTCAGCCTGGGCCGCTCACTGTTGCACCCGAACACGGCCGAGACACTAAGAGCGGACCCACCCGACCACAGGTGTAAGGAGCCCCCCAACACTAGGAAGGAGGAATCACGAAGCCGCCCCAGTGCTGTCCCTAAATAGGGGTGTGGCCACTTACCGCTGTGCAGATACTTTCCAGAGCCTGGTCCTAAGGCAAAGAAACCCACCGGCGTTTCCTGGATGGACTGGCCGACAGGGTACCAAGAGAAAGCGGAGAGGCCACTAAAACCCGCCGCCTCCACCAAGTGAACACCTTCCGACGCGCAGCCCACTGATACCGAGCGGCCAGTCACGTCGGCCCGGTAAGCTCAAGACAGTATATCTACATAACCGTGCTGCTGGGACAACATTCTCCCAGGCACCATTCCAAATCATTACCTTTGGAATCGGGAAACCAGGGTGAAGCTCCCAGCCTCCTTATTAGCCAGCTGTACAGCCTTGAGCCACATTCTTTAACCTGCAATACTGTTTTTGATCAGCAAACTGAGGCAGGACCAGACTGACCTCTAAAGTGGTTTCCACATGTGTCTCTATCCTCACGCACCACAACAGATAGAAAATAGCAGACTGCAGCCCTGGCTGGTGTGGCTCAGTGGACTGAGCGCCAGCCTGAGAAACCAGAAGGTCACTGGTTCGATTCCCAGTCAGGGCATGTGTCTGGGTTGCAGGTCAGGTCCCCAGTGGGGGGTGCGTGAGAGGTAATGACACATTGAGGTTTCTCTCCCTCTCTTTCTGCCTCCCTTACTCTCTCTCTAAAAATAAATAGATAAAATCTTTAAAAAAACAAAACAAAACAAAAAAAAACCCAGCAGGACCGCAAAACAAAGCAGTCGAACAGCCCACGTTTTTAGGCCCCTGGAACCAGGGCGAGAAGGGTCACGCTGACCTCAACAAGACGCGCCGTCTACCAACAGGGCCGCCGGCTCTTCCCAGAGATCTGAACGCCCTCTCCCCCCGCTCCATGGAAAGCCGAGCCTTCTGCCCTCTGCCTCCAGCCCGAGCAGTCAGGCCCAGCCCTCAGGTCTCGCAAGGCGAGGGGGAGGCCCCACAGGAGGCGTGTAGGTGCACGGCACACGGCCGTGGTGCCGGAGTGCGCGCTCCCAGCTCCGAGCTGCTCAGAAGCGGCCACGGTTCAGAATTCTCGGGGAAGGTAACTTGTACTATTCAACACAAAGTTTTCTGACTTACTCTTTGTATCGCTTCTGCCTGTCAAAATATAAACTGAAATAAATGTGCTCTAATGTTTTAAACTAAAATCTTCATAAAGAGGGGAAAATTCCAGACCATGAAGTCAGTCAGTATGACTTAATGACATTTTAAGGCTATGGTTTTATGGGTTATTCTCTCCCCAGAATTAAATATCTATGAGCATGAAGTATCAATAAAACAGTCCGTGCTTATGTACAGCCCACAGCCGAACATACCCAGAACTTCCTCACAGCAGGACTCCTCTGCAGGCCCAGAGGGGTTGAACCCCCCCCGCCACACCCACCCACCTAAGGACTCCGTGTCTCCTCATTAAGGACAAGCCCGCCTGCTGACAGCGGTCCCTACCACGCCACCCCTGCAGGACCCCCAGGGACCGCCTGGGAAACAACTCGCACGCACACTCGCTGCAGGGACATTTGCTCAACACCGAGAAGCGTGCAGGGCATGTCGCTGGCACCGGGGACAAGAGAACAAAGACTGCCCTTGACCTCCAGGAGCCTATCATCGAAGTGGGCAGATGCAACATAACTATAAAGATTTAAGTACAAACTGATGCACTAAAAATCAAATGTAGAAGCTGAGGCATCACACGATAGGAAAGTGACTAGAGCTGGTGGAGCCAAGGAGGAGAAATTCTGTAGATATAGTCTGTGCTGGGTATGACACAGAATACAAATAAAGGGCATCCCAAGAAACAGGAATGATATGGAAACAAGAATTGTTACAAGACAAGAAGGGAGTAGCAAGGGGCTTTGTTGAGGCGGCACACAGAATTGATGATGTTTAATTACTGAATAGACAGCAAAGGTGAGTACCTGATAGAGGAATTCAAGAGTTTACAGACACAATCCTGTAAGAAATTACTAGAAGCGACTCATACAGGCACACAAGTCCCTCACCCAGCAAACACCGACGGCCTGTTCCATGCCAAGCACTAGACTCAGGTTAAAGAACAGGACGAAGCCTGAGGGTCGTTGGCGCCTCTGCACGAAGGGGGGAGGACTGACTAGAACAGGGAAACCTGCTGAGATAACTGTCGGACTGAAGCAACAGAAAGGAATGGAAGAGGGAATCCATCAATGGTGACTTGCGGGGCCTAGTGATAGGTTATACATGCTGCACAGCAAAAAGGAAGAAAGACTCACCTAACCAGAAAAAGAGTAACAGAGAATTTAGGGTTACAAAATTCTTTGCTTAGTTTGTTTTTTTTTAATTGATTTTAGAGAGGATGGGGAAGGGAGGGAGGGGAAGATGGGGGAGGGGCATAGAGAGGAGAGAGAGGAACAGGAAGAGGAAGAGGAAGAGAAGAGGCATCAATTTGCTGTTCCGCTTATTTGCACATTCATCGATCGCTTCCGCACGTGCCCTGACCACAGATGGAACCTGCAACCTTGGCGTATCGGGCTGACGCTCTACCCAACTGAGCTACCCCGCCAGAGCTCTTTGCTTATTTTTTTTTTACTGTGTCAGGTTCAGTGAGATAATTCAGTTGAATTATCCGAAAAAGCACAGTGTTGGGAAAAGGGTAAAAGCAGTTTGTAGAGTAATCACCTCAAACGCACACGTTTACACAGAAAAGCCAGCATCTGAGAGCCCTTCCCCTGCATCTGTGTGGGGCGGAGGCTGTGAAACACACTGACTGCAGTAACCATCTCACAACGCACGACAGTCGAACCACCATGCTGCGCGCCTTCAGCTGCCCGGGGACCTAAGCCCACTACACGTGACAAAACTGGGGAAGTCGGGTGCTTGCTAGTTCAGCTCTGATTAAGCAGTTTACGTACACTCACATTCAATCCTCACAGTAACCTCTACGGTTACTCATTTGGTAAACGGGAAAACTGAAGCAGAAAGAAGTGACTTGTCCAGGGTCACAGACAGCAGGTGAAGAGGGAAATCACCAGATTCCTGAAGAAGTAAATGCGTAACGCGGGAACGAGACTTCAGGGCTTGGTCCCCAGGCCAGCGATGTGGTTGATGGGAAGGACACGATGAGCTTGCTAAGGGGGAGGCAGAGGACGAACACCAGAGGGGCGGAAAACCAGACGTGAACGACGAGGAGCCAGAAACCAGCAGCCCCAATGGGGCCCAACGGCGTGTGTCCCAGCAACGCTAGCCACAGGTCAAAGAAGGGACCGGAAGGCAAGGCAGAAGAAAACGGGGACCGAGAGAGGCTGCGGTGCCGTGAGGCCACCACGTGTAGTGACAGAACGGACATGTTACTGTCACTGCCTCACCCACGGTATTGGCCAGGAACGTGCGGAAAATAAAGCACAGTTGAAAGACGGGGAGTTTTGCTTCAAACAAACCCTGTGCTGCAACACAAAGAAAAGGAGCCACCCTAAAGGCTGGTAGCGAAGGGATTTCTCTACCCGTCCCGAACCACCTCCACCTGAGTCTGCACCTGCGGCGTGCCTCACCCGCCCCGGCCACGGAGGGAGGGCGTGCCCACCGAGCAGTCAGCCCTCTGCTAGTTCTGAAGGGGGTCTGGCCAGGCTCGCCTACAGCGCCCACCAAACGCCCTCTGCGGGAGGACGGACAGACGGACGGACACGCGCGCCTTTCCCTCCTTCCCCTCGCAGACCCGCCGCAGGCCTCGAGCCCCGGC